TCCCTGGGGGGTGGCAGTGAATGCCCGGGACGAGATAGCTGTAACTGATCATGCGAACCAGAGAGTTCAAATATTCAGTAGTGATGGAAATTACTTAAGATCCTTTGGTCGGCCAGGTAACAAAAACGGGGAATTTAATTTTCCAACGGGAATAGCATGTCACAAAAATGGAAATATTTTCGTGGTTAACAATGGTAATTCTAGGATCCAGATTTTCAGTGAGGAGGGTAAGTACGTAAGTTCGTTTGGCGGGGAAGGAGGCCTTGATAGTCAGTTCTTTAATCCTCGTTATTTATCTGTAGACAGTGATGGAAATGTTATTGTTGCACTTAATGGTGTAGGTAACAAACTGATTAAGATCTTTTCTCCAGATGGCAAGTTTCTAATGAAGATAGGTGAACAGGGTTCTTTTACTTTCAATCCTATTCACTGTGTTCAGTGTGATAGATATCTCATAGTGTCAGACATCAAAGAACATTGTCTGAAAGTTTACGACAGGAATGGAAACTTTCAGTACAAGTTTGGAAAGCGTGGTGGAGGNTTCAGTGTGATAGATATCTCATAGTGTCAGACATCAAAGAACATTGTCTGAAAGTTTACGACAGGAATGGGAACTTTCAGTACAAGTTTGGAAAGCGTGGTGGAGGGGACGGGGAGTTTAATTATCCAGGTTGTTTGTCAGTGAACAAGTCAGGACACCTGATGGTCTGTGATTCAGGTAATCATAGAATACAAGTTTTTGAACTAAATGGAAAGTTTGTTGGCAAGTTTGGAACAAAGGGCAGTAATTTAGGAGAGTTCCAGAATCCAAAGTCTGTGACAGTTCTAAATAATGGCCGAATTGTTGTGACTGACATGAATAACCATCGTATACAGATTTTTGAGTGAGACGTCGCCCTCTCTAACTTATGAAATAAGTGTCATTATTTGTTCTGTTGGAGCATTAGGTTTAAGAACACGAAATATTACTGTTGTTAAACTTTACATTGAAAGTTAGGAGGAAAATTTTATACTTAGTTTGAGGTAAAAATGATATTTGCACTCCATTTGTAAGTTGTGAAGATGGATGAAAACATTTGCGAGTTCAAATTGAATTTGTGACAAGTGTTCATTATTCCAAAATATTCAGTGTTCCTTGTTATATGATTTTAATTAAACTAGTATATTTGTTTCAGACACCAGAACTAAATTTTCTCTTTCAAGGATATAAGGCATCATGACATTTGTACTAAATTTGTGCAATGTTGATTTTGTTGGAGTTTTCACTAGGTGATAATTATTATGACAAGCAATCTTTGATAAGGATTGTGCTTGATTAGCCGATTAACTAATTTACAAACTTTCTCAATATGCTTGTCTAGTAAGTGGAAAAACTATGCATGGGAAACATTTTTGATTTTAATTTTTATATTTAAATGTATCTCTAGTGTATTTTAGCTCTAGTGTATTGTAGCTCTGGTGTAATTTATATTGCCTTATTTTTATATAATATTGTAGTTAGATTTTTTGACTGAAAAACCCAGACTGGGAGTTGTTGTAAACGTAAGATTGTATATATAGTAATATCGATACTACAGGTCTGTTTATA